TCTCAGAGATTGTACTCATGTACTCACCCTCTCAGAGTACTCAATCTCATTGTCTCGCATTCTCTCTCACTATGCTCACACACACACAATCACTCAGCGCTATACAATACCTGCTGCGGCGTGCAACCCGATCCCTGTTTATAGTCGACTGCGCTCACTGGGGGTGTGTACAGACTCATGAGGGGCTCCTACAGCCCAAGCGCTATAAGCACGGACAACTCACGTGCTGTACGGACAACTCACGTGCTGCACGGCCAACTCACGTGCCGCACGGCCAACTCACATGCAATAATAATATAAGGATCCGCACGGCCAACTCACGTATTGCACGGCCAACTCACGTGTTATAGTATAATATAAGGATCCGCACGGCCAACTCACGTGCTGCACGGCCAACTCACGTGCTGCACGGCCAACTCACGCGCTATAGTATAATATAAGGATCTGCACGACCAACTCACGTGCTATAGTATAATAAAAGGATCTGCACGGCCAACTCACGTACTATAGTATAATATCTCACATTTAGGCCCTCTGCCTCACTCAGTCATAAAGCTCTCCAGTCTCTAGAGCTCTCAACAATCATGAAATCAGCCCAAACAACAATGATATGACACATCAATAATGAACAATAGAGACTGAGACAAAATAATCAAGTAACTATGACTGAGTACAAAACAACAACTTAAGAAAATAATTCAACATGTACACGACCTCTGTGGGTCTCAACAATACCAGCATATAGCCTAAACATGGTTTCTAACATGACTTATAGTCAAATTTCCACAACACATAGAGAACACATAATTATCAACAAGTTATTCAACTTTACAATTTTCACGAGATGTACCAAGTCATAATCCCCTCGGTGCACGCCCACACGCCCATCACCTAGCATGTGTGTCACCTCCAAAATAATCACATGATACAAAAATTCGGGGTTTCATACCCTCAGTTTCAAGATTAGAAGAGTTACTTACCTCGAACAAGCCAAATCCAATGTCGAGCAAGCTAAGCAATGCTCCAGAAATTCCATTCTGCGCATATCAACTTCCAAATGGCTCGAATCTAGTCACAATAATTTGACTCAGTCCACACAATTTATAAGAATTAATTCCATATCAAAATGCTAATATTTTTCACAAAATTCGAAATTACGCCCCAAAAATCACTCGTGGGGCCCACGTCTTGAAATCTGACGAAACTCACAAAATACGACAACCCATCCAATTACAAGTTCAACCATACTAATTTCACTTAAATCCGACTCCAAATCGGTATTCAAACTTGAAAAGTTCATTTTTGTGACATTATAGAAATTTCCTTCTATTTCTCTTGAAGATTCAATAATCTTACACCAAAAATGAAGATTAATTCATGGAATATAATCACAAGGGAGTTAAGAACACTTATCCCAATTTGTGTGGAAAATTTCCTCTCAAAAATCGCCCAACCCGAGCTCCAAAATCCGAAAATGGGTGAAAATGTTAAACCCTCGAATTTTAAGCTTCTGCCCCAGCAATTTCCGCACCTGCGGAGAAGATTTGCGCACCTGCGCATCCGCTTGTGCGAGCAAAACGTCGCATTTGCGGACTCCACTCGCCTGCCCAGTTTCCGCTTCTGTGCGCATCCGTCCGCATCTGCGCTCATGCAGGTGCATAATTTTCCCTCGCACCTGCGACCAATGCCTCACAGCCCTCTGCCCGCATCTGCGCTCCTTCTCGCGCAGGTGCGATTCCGCACCTCGCTTCAGCGCACCCCTGCTCGCACTTGCGAGCTCACTCCTGCGACTACTTTTTCGCAGGTGCAATTACACCAGAAGGCTTCAGTTCCAGCAGTCTTCCAAATTCAAAAAAACAACCCGTTAAGTATCCGAAACTCACCCGAGGCCCTCGGGTCCCGGTCCGAACATACCAACAAGTTGCATAACATAACACGAACCTACTCGAGGCCTCAAATCATACCTAACAACCTCAAAAATACGAACTACACACGGATTCAAGCCTAATAAATTTCTAAATTTCCGAATTTTACAAATGACGCCGAAACCTATCAAATAACGTCCGATTGACCTCAAATTTTGCACACAAGTCACATTTCACATTACAGACCTATTCAAATTTCTAGAATCGGATTCCGACCCCGATATCAAAAAGTCAAACCACCGGTCAAACTTCTCAAAAATTCAACTTTCGGCAATTCAAGCCAAATTCCACTACGGACCTCCAAATAATTTTTCGGACACAATCCTAAGTCCAAAATCATCATACAGAGCTATTGGAATCATCAAAATTCGAATCCGAGGTCGTTTACACATAAGTCCGCATCCGGTCACTATATTAACTTAAGCTTTAAACCTTGGAACTAAGTGTTCCAATTCTTTCCAAAATCTCACTGGACCCGAACCAATTACCCCGGCAATTCACACAACAACTATAAAGTATAATTTGAGCAGTAAATGGAGAGATGAGGTTGTAATACTTAAAACGACCGGTCGGGTCGTTACACCATGTATTCAAAAAATAATTATGCCTGATGTGTTATGAGCCATTTAAGCATTTAAATTTATGAGACATTTAAGCCATTTAAGAAGAGGTATGCTCGAGGTCGATCGATGATTGGGTGGGGAGTCTTAACTAAGGATAAAGCCCAAGAGTTGGTAGGGAGGTTATCGACTCTGGGAGCCTGGAGGAGTAGTCAATGACGGTGAACTGTGTTAGGGAGGCGACGAGAGAGGTGTTAAGGATATCGAAGGGTTACTCTGGTAGGCATCAAGGCAACTGGTGGTGGAATGACATAGTCCAAGGCAGAGTGGAGGCGAAGAAGGTAGCGTATATGAAGTTGATAGGGAGCACAAGTGAGGAGGAGAGGAGAGCAAATAGAGAGAGGTACAAGGTAGCGAGGAAGAAGGCGAAGCTGGCGGTCACGGAGGCTAAGAATACAGCGTTTGGTCGCTTGTACGAGGAATTGGGGAAAAAAGGCAGGGATAAGAAGTTGTTTTGGCTGGCTAAGGCGAGGGAGAGGAAGGCTCAAGCTTTGGACCAAGTGAGGTGCATCAAAGACGAGGACGGTATAGTATTGATGGGGGAGTCTCAGATTAAGCAGAGATGGTAGACGTACTTTCATGATCTTCTTAATGNATTATAGGCGCATTAAGGTGGAGAAGGTAGCGGGGGCTATGCGTAAGATGAGTAGGGGAAGAGTGACCGGGCCAGACGAAATTCCGATTGAGTTTTGGAAGTGTGTGGGTAGATCAGGCTTGGAGTGGCTGACTGGGCTGTTTACACTATAAAAAACGGGGGTGATTGTGGCGGCCGAATATGCAGTGGCGGTTCAGAACCGCCATAATGGTCACTAATGGCGGCTTACGAACCCGCCATAATCGCTTCCGCTAAAAGGTTTAATACAGCGGTTTCCTTTTAACCGCCGCAATATGCATAGTTAAGAACGACTGTTTACTTTGTTGATTGTGGCGATTAGTAACCGCTATAATTGATGTCTTTCAAGTTATAGCCAGTTTATACTGCCATAATTATAATATATTTAATATTAATTTTTTAATTCCACATTTAGATCCTTTTTACTGCACAAAATCCATCATAATATGTAATCAAGCACCCATCATAGAAATTAACATAAATTATAGAGAATTAGATAAGCAAAATATTCATCATATTAAAACATAGGTGCCCAAAATCCATCTCATCCAAGATGCAAGTTTAAATTGGAGAGAGTTATTCACCAATTACAACACAAAAAAAACATAGTTCATCCTAACTAACAATTACAACACAAGAAAAACATAGTTCATCCTAACAATGATTACTAATTGTCATTTGCTCCGTTTTCATTGTTACTTTCGTCAAAGGATCTTCTTGGCTTAGTTGGTGATGGAACGCCATCTCCTAAATTGGGAGCCTGAATAAAAAAACTAATTAATAGTCTCAAACTAAGTAGCCAGTGCTAATTAGAAGTACTCAATGAATTCAACGGTCATGGATACCCCTCTTTTGTTAAATAACAGATTATACAAAAAAGGATATAGAAAATATAATAGCAATCAGACTCGATTACTATTTGCTAAAGGACTATTAATAACATATAGATTGAAAACAGCATGAAAGTTTTGGAAACCGAGTCATATCACTTCCATATGCAATTAAAGCCCTTGCCAGACCTTAAGCTCATCTCACTCAATTAAGGAGTAGCGATACTTAATCAAACAGAATGTAGCGATACTTCACCTATTCATTGCCAATAGCAGCTTTCCAAAACAAAGTGTAATAAACTATCAGACCCCTTATGATACAAGAAAGCAAAATAAAATCTAATAGCTTCAATATAAACCGAAAATTTCCATAATCAAAATTAAACCTGAAGAATTATCAAAATAACATCATAAATTCTTCAATACAATGTCATCAGACATCAACTACACACTCAATCTTACCTTAATTGTAAACAAACATAGATAAGATCATTAAATTTTCTTATCTTACATCCAGAACTTGAACAGTAATGATATACTAGTATATGAATTCTCTGATTGGGTTTGTTTCTAATTTAAATATAATCAGTTGAGTATATGATTCCATTTTAATTGTATACAAACATAGATGATACCATTATGGAGTCTTTGCTTCCTTTTGTTATCTTATATTATGGAGTATCAAGAACTTGAAAAACATAATGAGACGTAGCGTAGGAACTCTTATCATTTTTTTCTTATACATAGAACTAAACTCTTCCTCCTTAGGTTCTGGAATTGTATTTTGTTGGATGCTCTTACAATATATTCAACTCTGTTCTTCCAAATGCAATAATTCTAAGTAATAATTTATGGTCATATAATTAAGACAGATAACAATGACATTTATTGGAGAAATACTAGAAAGTCATACTCTTCTTAAACCTAACCACCAGGATTAGAGATAGATAACCAAACAATATTTCAAAAACACAAACATCAAAACAGAAAAGCAGTAAAAAACTGCCTTTCTCATAATAAACAAAATTATCTGATAATAGATTCCAATCTAACTTTAAACATATTGTCAAATTGAATGGGCAAACAAAGAAAAAATAAATACTTGTACCTATGGAGGAGTCGGAAATAAGTGAGCAAACTCCTCGGGATAATTCCTATTTTCATTTGAAATAAGCTAGTTAGCGCATTTAATTGTGATCTCATATTTGCCATCTCTTGCACCCATTGTGGAGGTGGAGCACTAGCGCTAGATGAGCCCATATAAGAACAACCACCTCGGCGTGATATTTGCTTGAATACTACAGTTGGAACTGCACCCATGCCTAAGCCTCGAATACGGCCAGGGTGCTCGGGACCGAAGACTACACCAAGCGCATCATTTAGTGAAATTTCTGCCAGAGTTTCTGGTCTCTGTCTTCGAATTTCTTCAATTCTTTCCTACACGAGGGACAAAATATATTTACAAAAGGAGAATCTATAAAACATTAAACAGTGCTCCAAGTATGTTCAGAAGCAGACCATTCAAAGTAATCGCCCTTCTTTCAAAGCTGAATCTCCAAATAAGAAGATGGTCAACAGAAATTACTACAGTTACAAACATTCCAAAAGAGGATCTCATAAAACCCGCACACCATATACAATTGAAACCAGTAAAATTATTTTGACTAAGATCAAGAACCCTCAACCTCTTACACTGAAGCAAACTCATAGGAACAGACCCATTCAAGAAATTCTGTGACAAATCCAAAGTTTGAAGATAATTTAACCTCCCAACTTCAAAAGGTATAACCCCAGAGAACAAATTCCCATAAAGAACCAAACTTTGCAAACCTTGAACTTTAAATAACTCAACAGGCAAACTACCAGAAAACGAATTACTCCTTAAATTAACATGTCTAAGCTCAGATAAAGATCCAAGACTAGAAGAAACAAAACCAATGACAGCCAGCGGAGAACCAGGCTAGTATTTCTTACTCACAAGCAGTGAATAGATGCACTTTTCTGCACATGAATTTTTTTTCATACATAAACATGCATCTGCTTTAAACACCAGAACATGCTGACAAATAAACTGCTGACAACTACACTCTTCACAGCAGTATTTTGTTAATAATCACAGTTGCAATGCCTAGAGAAATAGGAAGTTTCAGCAAGAGATAATATCTACTGTACAGCTACCTCCTCTGAGGTTTCTGACTGATTCAAAGTTGCATAATGGACTCTGCACCTAATGATATCAGACAACAGTTCCATATATAAAAATATCTATATATGGAAGACTAAAGCACCAAATAACACTTACCCCAATCTCCCTAGCTTGATCATTCACATAACTCCCATCTTTCCTCTTATGAGTCTCAGTCCACACTTTACCTCGATCAACTTCTTTCCCCATTTTCTTCTGAAATTTTAAAAAAGTAAAATTAATTAATTAAGAATATATTAATACAAAGAACGTATCAGTAAGTACGTCATATTAAACTACCATCAAATCCCTTCTTCTATCCAAACTCATAGCACCACTAGTATGGGGAAGTGTTTGTTGTCCTCGAATCCGTTGATTTCTCAAGCAAAGCGCCTACGAGTCAAAATAGGAGAATTTCTGTTAGATATAAAAAGCGACAAAGGCCCAGTTGCATTAAGCAAAATGAAAAAGGGAAAAAAAAAAAGAAAAGAAGCCACAGCAGTGGCGGAGAAGAAGCAGCAGAGACAAGCAGTGAAACAAAGAGAAGAAGAAGAAGACGAACCTTTGTTTCCTCTTTTGAACGATAGTTAACATACAATGCCCATTGGTCCATGGGAATGCCTTCCGGAGCATTCTTGATGATATCTTCTTTACTCAATAATGGATCCTCAGCCTCATGCCATAGTTTAAGCAAAAAAGTTGGTTCAAAGCTTTTGAAGAATCTGTACATAGAAGGGAACAACTTGTTCTGGGAAAAACAAAAAATACAGCATGCAAGAACTACTTAAAAGTTCACATATATATATATATATATATATACAAGAACTTGTAGTGACTTATCATGAACTAATTAAATTCAAGTATGAGTATGTTAGTCATTCTATTACAAAATTAACAGATCAATGATTCTGCAAGACTCATACTTGCAGATGCACATTGCAACTGAACATTAACAAGATGCAATTTAGTGAATTTAGAGATTAGAACATGTCAGTACATATTATCTGCAAATTTCAGACAAATCAAGTGGAGATCACTAGGGGAGGTTATTTATTTTAGTGAAAATTGTGACTGGAAAAAACTGTTCCAGCAGAAAGTGGAGCACTAGGTATGTCTATTCAATAAGAGACATACAAAATTAGGAATCTGTCGAAGTAATACCACATCATCATAGATGCACAAGAAGAATATGTTGTTCTTTTGGGGGATAAGTTATACTGTCACAGTGATATTACTTTACTTTTCAACAGGTCTAATTTTACCTATAGTTACCATAACATAACATAGCTTTGAAGACGTTATACCACATCAAGCTGTCTACTGATACTGACATAGCATCAAAATTGAAACATAGCATCACAGTTAAATACAGAAAGCATAGAATGAGATCGAACACTTCTGAATAAATACAGGGACATCATGCATGGTGCGATGGTCCTCTAGTAAAACATTATAACATCACAGTTAAAAGATACATGTTTATTCACTAAAATTACAACACTTCTGAATTTATAATCAAAATGAATTGACAACTGAAGAGCAGCCTAGATAATTATAATACAGTACAAGAATAATGCATACCTATCAAATTGTTCACTGTCGACGTCGATCCCAATAGCTTCAACTACCTATCAAGCGCATATATAATAATTTAGGTTAGTATTAGATTGAACAACAGCTAAAAATATCAAAAATAAGTGCATGTATTTCAAATAGAAAAGAGAAATCGATAGCTAAACCAATGAAATCGACGGCTAAATCAATAAAATTGACTGCCAAAACGGTGAAATTGACAGAAAAACCAGTGAATCGACAACTAAAATCAATGATTTAAACTGATCTTCATTCAATACACATACATGCACGCCTTAAATCAATGAAATCAATGCCTAAATCAGCAAAATAAAAAGCCAAATCAGTGAAATTCACGGCTAAGATTAGTGCTTTAAACTAATATCCATCCAATACACACACATGCACGCCTTAAATCAGTGAAATCAATGGCATTTTGAAAGGAGTTACACGAAAGACTTGAAACGAGTATTTATCATAAAAGGACTATTTATAGACGAATTGAAACACATTACCACATCTAAACGGGTTGAAATCTAATCTCCTTACAAAAAGCTAAATGATTTGGGAAAATCGTTAAACGATTTGACCTTAAACATTTTGGGGAGTCGTCTTTTTGAGAGAGAAAGAGAGAGAAGGCGTAGAGATCGAGGGCGGAGAGAGAGAGAGAAGAGCGTAGCAAATATTTAAACCAGGGGAGTTCTGTTTACTATATTAAAATTATGTTTTTAATACTAAACATATAAGCGGGGAGTTCTAAATATGTTGAGGGAAAAGAATTATTAAAACAGTGGGAATTAGTGGCGATTTTGAACCGCCGTAATTAAAAAATGAACGGCCGTTTTAACATATGCCCTAATGGCATCTGGAACGCCGCCGTATTATGATCTATATTGTGGCAGTTTTGTTTAACCGCTGTTATTTAACCACCGCAATAATTCCGATTTTTTATAGTGTTAATATTATTTTCAGGACGAAGAGGATGCCGGATGAGTGGAGGTGGAGTACAGTAGTACCGTTGCACAGGATCAAAGGTGATATCTAGTATTGTAACAACTATAGGAGTATCAAGTTACTAAGTCATACCATGAAAGTTTGGGAGAGGGTGGTGGAGGTGAGGGTAAGGAAGACAGTGTCTATATCCGACAACCAGTTCGGATTTATGCCGGGTCGTTCGACTACAGAAGCTATCCACCTTATTAGGAGGTTGGTAGAACAGTACAGTGATATGAAGAAGGATATGCACATGGTATTTATTGACTTGGAAAAAGCATATGACAAGGTCCATAGGGAGGTGCTCTAGAGATGTCTGGAGGCAAAGGGTGTGTCGGTAGCTTACATTAGAGCGATCAAGGACATGTATGATGGAGCTAAGACCAGCGTTAGAACTGTAGGAGGCGACTCGAAGCATTTACCGGTTATTATGGGGTTACACCAAAGATCTGCGCTTAGCCCATTCTTAGTGATGGATGCACTAACACATCATATTCAAGGGGAAGTACCATGGTGTATGTTATTCACTGATGACATAGTTTTGGTTGATGAGACGCGAGGCAGTGTTAACGAGAGATTGGAGGTTTGGAGATAGGCTATCGAGTCTAAGGGTTTCAAGTTGAGCAAGACTAAGACAGAGTACCTAGAGTGCAAGTTCAGCGCTGAGTCAAGGGAAAAAGGCATGGACATGAGGCTTAGATCACAGGTCATCCCCAAGAGAGCTAGTTTCAAGTGCCTTGGGTCGGATATACAGGAGGACAGATAGATCGACGAGGACGTCACTCACCATATAAGGGTGGGATGGATGAAATGGAGGCTATCATCTAGAGTCCTGTGTGACAAGAAAGTTTCACCGATATTTAAAGGTAAGTTTTATAAAGCGGTGGTTAGACAGCTAATGTTGTATGGGGAAGAGTGTTGGCCGGTTAAGAACTCTCATATCTAGAAGAAGAAGGTAGCAGAGATGAAGATATTGAGGTGGATGTGCGGGCACACCAGAATAGATAAGATTAGGAATAAAGATATTCGGGAGAAGGTGGGCGTGGCCCCTGTGGATGACAAGATGTGGGAAGCGAGGCTCAGATATATGGTTCGGGCACGTGCGGAGGAGAAGCCTTAGGTGTGAGCTGTTGGCTTTGGTGGGTAAGAGAGGAGGTAGAGGGCGGCCTAAGAAATATTGGGGAGAGGTGATCAGGCAGGACATGTCACTACTGCAGATTTTTGAGGACATGGACCTTGATAGAAAGGTCTGGAGGTCGAGCATTAGGGTTATAGGTTAGGGGTAGTGGAGCTTTTTCTACTTATTACTGGGGGTGAGGCTGGTTTTATAGGGTTGTTCTTTGACGGCTAGTGGTTATTGTTGTGTCCACACTATCCTTTATATTTTTCATAGCTCCAGGCCTTGATTACTAGTTATTGTTATTGCATACCATCTATTTTATGGTTTTTATGATGCTGTACTATTTCTATGGTTTCTGTTGATGATACTGATATATTGTCTCTTCTTGTTTTATTTCTGTCCTCCTAAGGCGAAGGTCTATCGAAAACAGCCTCTCTGCTCCATCGGGGTAGGGGTAAGGTCTGCGTACACACTACCCTCCCAGATCCCACTTTGTAGGATTTTACCGGGTCGTCGTTGTCGTTGTTGTTGTTGTTGTTGTTGTTGTTGTTGTTTGCTTCGTCTATAAGTTGGCCTGCTGGTATAACAGTCTCTATTTTGAGTTCTCTGACCGATGTACCCGTACATGAACTATACTTTAGTTGTGCCATTGATGCATTACGGAATTGCGGTGCTTACTTGCTTGTAAGTTTTTTTTTAAAAAAGGGAAGCGTTTTGTAAATTTTCTTGATTTTAATACAAAGATTGCATAGATTTCGTGTGGAGGGAGACATATTCGAGGTTGATGTATTTTAACCTTCAGTTGGTCCTTGTTTAGTAGAAGTTGTACATAGTCGGGCAATATCTTGTCTTGTAAAGTTAGAGTGTTGTGAATTCTATGGGTTTACCCATGAAGAGGATGTTCTTGTTATGATAAAATAACCCCATCGGCTTTTGTATCCCTCTTCTTCCTTACTCTTTGTTACTAGGTCCTCCAAATCCTTCATATCCACCCTATCTAGCAGCATAGTTGCCGCAAATATTCACAAATTGTTTTCCAACCAAGGGTGGAATCAGATTGTAGGGGAAAGGACTTAGAGGGTGGCAAAGATAGTGAGCATGTAATGTCATGGGCAGCTTTCCATCCATACCCAATGACCCCTTGGATGCTCCCCATGGCGTTCCGGCAAGCCTCCCAATGCCTAGTTCCATGGATGGCCCCGATGTCTTGGCCGTGCCAAGTGACAAGTGCGCCTGTGCCTCTATCGCCTCATCGATAGCCCTCGCTAGTGCCCAGCCGCAGGCAGATGCCAACAGCGCCGCACACGCAGACTCTGATGCTAAAGAAAAGGTTGCTGCCAATGGACTAACTTCTACCTTGTAGGAATCTAAGTCCTTTTTATTGTAAATATAGAGTAGTTTTACTTCCCGTATTTCCATTACGTCTCTCTAGCTTAGTTATGTCAAGTCCTGTAACTTTGGTTTATTTTTTTAAGCATTATTAGGGGGGATCAAGTAATCAAACTTTCAAGCAAGCAAACAATTCTTTGTATTGGTGTCTCTCCCCCTCGACACTGTGTTGCCTTTTTGTAATAGCTTTTATTAATGCAATCAAGCTTTCTTTCATTTTTATTCTCTTTTATGTTCTCTCAATTGCTCTTCACATTGATTTTCCCGTACGACATTGATAGTCTCATCTAGCGTACAGAGAAGACCCCAGTTGGCGGATAGTAACTGCATGAACATCTGTTGCTTAGTCTTACGTCGCCCTTCCAAGAAATTTTAGGAAGGCGCCACGTATCAGTTGGAATCAGAGCCTAGGCTTGACATTGAACGTGGGAACATATTGCCATTACCACCACTTCTGACCATGGTGAATCATGGGGACAGCATTGCGGCTCTTGAAGAGACGGTTAACGTATTACAACCCATCGTGAATATGATGCCTGATCTAAAAACCAACCTAGTGCAAAGATTGGATGACCTGGATCGCAGGATGTGGCAGGACAAAGGTGATATTGCAAACATCAGTCGCGACTCTGAAGGAGACCGGCAAACGACAGCCACAGAGGCAACCAAAATT